GCTTACAAAGTGCAGAAATTATCAAGGCTGGTAGGCCAAAAACAAAAAAAAATCATAAAACTGAACTCTTGTTGCGATTCTTTGGTTGCAAAACAAATTTTATTTTGAGAGAAACCTACTTTACGAACTTGGAAAGCACAACTGTTACAAACACAAAAAAATCCGAGAAAGTGTCAGTAAAAATTGTTGTTTCCCTAGCCTACTCTCTTCAATTTTCATGGTCTCTCGTCTGCAAAGGCTGCTGAATACGCTTGTACCTTTTCAGTAAGATAACATAAGCTAAGATCCCACTTTATTTCTCAAATTTTCTATCTAGAAAGACCTTCTTCCAGTTCCACTAACCTTCCAACTTCCAACTTTTCTTCCAAGCCCGTCAAAAAAGGAAGTAGCATTTTTAAAAAGTAACCCCCAGACGTCCTCTCAAAAATTAAAAAGGTCTGGTCTATTCCGAAAGCCTCCAAAAATCGGCTTTTAAACCTCTAGATTTGCGTCTCGCGAACATATCAGAATAAACAGACCCCCTTTCCCAATTTCCTTCTCCCAGAACTTGTGCTTCTTCTTTTTCCTCTCATTAAATCCAATTTCTTTTAAAAAAAAGAGAACTTTCTCTTCCAGCTGGTTGCAGTTACGCAACAGAGAAAAAAGATAAAAAGATAAAGAGCATTTGGTTTGTTAACAACAAGTGTTTTAGTAAAAACAAAGGTAGAAGAGTCGGTAAACAAAAAATGAGAGGGGATACGCAATTATGAGAGGGGTATTCGGATATATATAATAATAGACAAGATGCTGAACGAAGTGATGCAATTCAAGGGACTTCTCCTAATCTTGAATGCATCGTACATCTACAATACATAACATATTAATTTGTGAAGCTTCCGTCTCTTCTTTTACAACAACAGCTGGGATCATGAAGAAAGCCAACCGTACATTTGTTTATGACCAACAATTTAAGAGGTCTTTAGAGTCAAATTTAAGCCAAATGAACCTCCATGCAAGGCCTTCTATAAAACAATATTTTTTTGGTTTCCAACGATTGGTTGTACAAGAGTTTGATGCTGCGAAACAGCTGCAAAACTTGGTTGCTTATGTTAATTCTTTAGGTGCTCTCTGCTATCCATTATTTCCAATGAAAATTCTCTTTTTTTACATAAAAGCTGTTTCAATCTTAAATTTATTTTTGTTTAATCCACCGCGAACGCTTTTTTTGGGAACATTTGTTGGGCTCTTTTCGCCTGGAAAGAGTCAGCTGGGCCGTTCCGACGTTCCTCTCGGCATTTTCAAACGTTCCGTGTTTCATGTTTGTTTCAAATAAAATTTATGGAAACGGGGTGTATGAAGCTAAAATATTATGCTGAACTTTTTGATTTTTTTCTTCATAACTTTGAAAAAATAAATCGAAAATCGTGAATTTCTTTTTTCACTGGAGAGAACGTATTTTACAAATATTTTAACATCTCTGCTGCTATTTTTCTAACCGATACAATAGCACTTAGAAAACTTTATTTCTGGACAACATTAGCCATGTTTTTGCAAAATATTTCCTCTAGCCTCTTCGTGCTTGAGGCCCTATAAAAACAGCCAGTAAAGTCATCAAGAGAAAAGAGCGAGAGAGTGGTTTCCTCGCATACACGTCCTCTCCATGTTTAAGACACGTCGAACATTGCGAAATCAAAAAATTGTTTTGTCAAAGCGTTCGCCGGCCTCTGCAGGGATGACAAGAACGGCAAAGAGCACTGCCGAGCAGTGACGAAATATCCTAAGGCTATAGGGATGGTTTTGTAAGATACGCAAAGCTTTGCGAAGAGGCTCTTAATCATTTCCCCGTTTAGAATTAGATGAGATTTTTTGGGAGAATATATGGGATATCTTGCCCGAAAACATTTTTGAATATCTCCCCGCCCCTTTATTATTCAAACTTAACTTTTGTTGTGCTTGAAACGTGGCCTGAACACGACATGTGTTTCTAAATACAGACAACATATGAGCCTTAGAATTAGTCCTTTGATAAAATCCAAAACTTCAAGCTCAACCTTTTAAACTCAAATTTTAAAATTATTTTTTCGACTTCCTCATCCCATATATTAACGTACCCTAGCTCCCTATTACATCAGATGTTTACCGGTTGCTTTGTTTTCGATTTGAGAGGGATTCCCGGAGTCTCGGCTGTTCTTTTCGAAGCGAACAGTTGACCAGGAACGCCGGGGGGAAGGGAGAACGGTGTGCATGCCCGTGCCATGCAAATAGCATACCCTTTTTGGTGTTGTTTATGCCGCTCATTTACACTCACGGCCCGTGCTCGTTTTGAGGGCCGCTGTTTGGTTCTGTTTCATTGGCGCGAGATAGGAGAGAGGTCGAAGTTTAAGGGGCGAGATGTTGAAGTTTAGAAAGTTTTGTATTGAAGAAATGCGAGAGACGCGCTCTTGCTCGGTAGTGACAAAACTCGGTACAGATTAGGAATAGTATTTTCACACTTTATGTGGGGCATATTTTTTGAGAAAAAGTTTGCACGCTGATTCTGCCCTCCATCGGCTGAATTAAAGGCGATTTCGCCGAAATGTTTTAGGCTTCTCCCGGAAAAGATAAAATCTTTCTTCGCTAAATTGTTGAGTTAAAGTTTAGCTGTAATTCATTCAGCCCAAATACAAGATTTCCCTTACAAGACATAAGCCTGATTATTTTTAGCTTTTAGCTGTTGCTTTACTGTGATGACTAAAAGATTTAAATTCAGTATTCTCTCTGCTATAACACACACCCCATAAGCCGCCTTTTACTACCGCCTCTCGCCATAAATCCGCCGTTTTTGCAAGTTAGCCGTTCAAAGCTCACATAATTGTAAACAAAACATGTTTCAAAAGGCCAATGTTTCCCATAAAAACAGGAAAACGTCCCCAAATTCCGTCTATTTTCGTCCCACTTTATCGCAGATTTTCTGTACTTTGCATTACAAAAATAATTCCGAGTGCTTTGAAACCAATCCAAAAAGCGAAACTCTCTCTCTCTTCTCCCTCCGTTTTTAGCCTCCAAATTGTTTTTGGTCCATTTCTGATTTTGGTGAGTTGGAAAAAAGAGAAACTGTCAGTTTTTGTTCGCCTAAAACGGTTTTTATTCACTTTGGTCTGCGGAAATTTGTTACGAATCTGGACGGTTTTGGGTGAGATTTTGAAATTTTTAAGGGCTTTTGGAAGAAGGCTTGTGGTTTTGGGACCTTGTGCCAATTTTTGGGTCAGTAAATCCTGTTTATGCGGACTAAATAGTTTGTTGACATAGGAAATTTCAGAGAAGTGAAAATTTAAGCTCGAAATCTGCAAGGCAAATCGATTCAACGGCCTGCGAAAGGTCAAGAGACAATGGAAAGTGAGGAGAGACGGTCAGAGAAAAAAAGTTTTCTTTCTGTTTCGTGGCAAGTTTGTTGTCAAAAAAGTAGATTTTTTGTGCCAACGCTCTTCCCTGGAATTGCGGACAAAATGCCTATTATGCGCTTTAAAAATATTAGAAAAGCATGCGGATTTTTTTGGATTTTGACCTCACAGTCGTAGCGGCTTCAACATAAGATATTATCATGCAGTAGAAGCCTTTTTTTTTAAATGCAACTTAAATTTGCGCCGAGTTTCAACAAGACCTGCAGATTGCTGAATTAGCCCCTGGATTTAAAAATTTGGGGGCTGACTTGAAAATATTCGTAGTTGCAAATTTATTATGCTGATTTTGCTTCGTAATATTGCTGTTTTTAGATTGTATTCTAACCGGAAAGGTTCCATTTTGTTTGCTTTGAGATTCATAATTTGTTTTGACTCATTTCTGTCACGAAATTCCAGTCTGTTTATTTTACAGGGTGTTCAGAGAATTATGGAAAAAACTATTCATTAATAACTTTGCGCTCGGTGGTTCAATCCAAAAATTTTTTTTTGCATTTTACAGAAAAACCTTGGAGTTTTTAGAATCTAAAATATTTTTTTCTTTTATCGGCGGAGACTTTTGTAATCCGCGTTGAATTCGGCGGAGTGTTTTTTTCACAAAATAAGGCTGTGAATCGTTGTATGTGTAAAGAAAATGGGCGGAAAAGGATCCAGCAGATACAATATGACAATTTCTTTCGAATTTCTGCGCTTCGGCGGAGACATTTTTTAACCTCGGCGGACGATTTTTCTTCGACTTCGGATAGTCAAAATCGGCTAAAACCAAAGCGTATGGTATCCCTAGTGACATGGCGCTTAAAAACGACTTATTACGTCTTCAGTCGGCTGGCAGATGAAAAAACGGGAATTCGGCGGAGAAATCGGCGAAGAAAAAATGAACGTATTTAAGAACTTATGCAAATTTATCCACCGAGCATCGGCCAATAAGAAGAATCATATTTTTGTTTAATCAGGGCCGTATAAGACCTACAACTTTAGTTTTCTCATCATAATTTCTTAAATGGGTTAATTTTTTCTTCGCCGATTTCTCCGCCGAATTGCCTTTTTTTTCATCTGCCCGCTGGTTGAAGACGTATTAAGCCGTTTTTAGGCTCCATACCACCAGGGATACGATACTTTTTGGTTTTAGCCAATTTTGACTATCCGGAGTCGAAGAAAAATCGTCCGCCGAGGTTAAAAAATGTCTCCGCCGAAGCATAGAAATTTGAAAGAAATGTCATATTGTATCTTCTGGATCCTTTTCCGCCCATTTTCTTTACACATAAAACGATTTACAGCCTTATTTTGTGAAAAAAACACTCCGCCGAATTCAACGCGGATTACGGAAGTCTCCGCCGACAAAAAAAAAAAAATTTAGATTCTAAAAACTCCAAGGTTTTTCTGTAAAATGCAAAAAAAAATTTTCGGATTGGACCACCGAGCGCAAAGTTATTAATGAATAGTTTTTTCCATAATTCTCTGAACACCCTGTATTATACCTCGTTGTTTTGCTAAATCTCCAGAAAATTTCTATTTGCATGCCGTATCGTATCTTCGATATATTTTTTTTTCATAAGCTAAAATCCTGTTTTGTTTTCAGTCGCAATGACCAACTCAGACATTAGTGACACGTCCGAAATCATGTCGGATACGAAAATGGAAATCACCACAAATCCAGAGGATCAGTCTAAACCCAAACGAATATACAAAAAACGTCTGGTCGATGAGTCGGAGAGGAAAAGAGCTCGGCCAGTCAAGAAGGAAAACAAACATTTGTTCGAGGAATGGCTACTGGAACACTGTAACAATTTGTATCCAAGCAGAGAGGAGAAAGAGGGACTGGCAGCCAAGATGAACGTTAATTTTATGCAGGTCAGTAGTTTATTAGTTGATTTTTTCTGATTGCCAAGTTTTTTTGCAAGTTAGCAAAAATGATGACAAGTGTAATATAACAATATAATGTCATTATTTTTGCTAACTTTTAGGGCGTAAATTAATTTCTGAAAGTTTTAACTTGTGCTTTAAAAATTGCATCTAAAAATTGCGTCAGAACCCCCATAGATTTCAACCAAAAATTGATTTTGATGGCTCTGATAAGAACTTTGCAAGTTCCTTTTCAGGTATCCCGGCTCTTCTCGAACTACCGTCGCCGAATCAATCAGCAAATTCAAGAGAAACGGCGATCCATTGACGGTCAAATCAACGGCCCAAAAACTGAAAATCCACCGAGAATTAAAGACGACGGCGTCATCAGCAAGATAGTTGATGAGATTGTGAATGATGTCTCGAGAAATGGATATGTCAGAAAGAAGAATTATGCCAAGAAGAGAGCTCAAGTGCTGCATGAGAATAAAGGAAAGGCAGAACAAGAAACGAAGGTCAATGATGAAATTCGAAATTCCGAAAACGTAAAGGTTGAGATATACAATGCAAACCTTCTCAAATGCGATGAAATTATTGAGAATTCAGATAATGAGGAGGAGACAGAGAAAGGTGAGACAAGTTTTGGTAGAATTTTTTCATAAACTTGTCATTTCAAACACTTTTCTATCAAAAATCCAACTTTATTGTATTGCCAGACGTTGCCCAATTTTTCGAAACGTCTGAGACTTCTTGATAGCTCGAATCCTCTCCGCTACGATCCCCTTTCCCAAGATGATCCATCTCTCGGGATATTTAGAACCCAGCCAAACCTGTAATTATCCCACCTGGTTTCCTTCGGCACTTCTATATAAATAACAGAGTCCTTTGCATTTATAATCGGGTATGAGATCCACCAATTCTGTTTATTTTTACGACGTTTGTCCAGGTTTTATTACAAAAGAGAAATGGCCAAATTTTGAATTTTGTTCGTCTTATGATTTGTCTTGAATGAAAATGGGGATCTTTTGAGTTTTGAGAGTTGCGAGAAAGTCTTGAGTAATTAGCGGCTTAAACTTGAAGCTCCTTTTGAGGATGGGACTCGGATTTTGAATAATCCAATTTGGCTCTCTTCTCGGAAGACGGGTGAGAACTTAAAAGGCGATTCTTGAGGGGAAGAAGTAAAGACGGGGAAATTTGTAAAATGACCAGTGCTTTGGAGGGGCGTCTTCTTCTTGTTGGATTCAAAAGTTCTCTCAAAGAATCAAGCCTCTGTACAACGCAAGGACTTTAACTTAGGTAGTTAAAGATGTGGTTATATAGGTTATTTGTGGTCTAAAATATAGTCCGGGAACACAGGAGCCGGTTGTTATAGAGAGGCTTTCTTGTGCTTGAATTCCGCCAAGTTATTGGATGCAACACACCAAATATGGATGTACCAATTACTATGGCTATTTTAAACTCAGCTCTTGTTGATTTGTGAAGTTTTGGCTTCTTGTGGGATTTCCAGACGCGTTTTCAAGTCGTACAAATTTCAATAGCAAATTAATTTTATCTTCCAATTTGTTGCGTATACATTATAATCTTGTAAATATTATCATTACGGATAAAAACGTCTTTTGTCATGGTTTTGCAACGCAAATACGATACATTTACAGACTATTCGAACATTCACACTCAAATGGTCATGGAGTACCCAGAGCAACTCAAGGTCGACACTAGCCATCCTTCCTCGTCGCAAGACTTCCCAAATGATCCAGAGAGCAGCACGGTGGATCCAGTAACTTCGTCTGAGGTATGGTTTACACTTTTTTTGTTATCAAACGTTTGAGTTTTACTTCCAATTTTGAGACTTTTCTTGGTCGATGATGTTTCAAATTTACTTCTGTTTTCCTGCAAACCGATTTGGTCTCTAATTCCCTCCGAACATTCTGGCGGTTATTTTAGTCTGCTCGATATGTCTTCTACTCTTTTTTAGAGTGCATTATCATCCATGTGATTCGAGTTTTTTTTTTTTTTGTAAAAACGATAAAAGGTGGAATGATTGCTATCAGACGGCTGGGGAGTGAAACAAAAAGCATGATCGACATTGTAAAGCAAGTTGCGATATGAAAATTAAAAGTGCATTAGGAGGGTAAAATACGAGCATGTAACCTTGCGTTGTAAAAAAATTGACTTACGTGATATCATGATAATAACTAAAAAGTATATATTTTTACAGTACTCCTCGTCTGAAAGATTATCAAATTTAAGTAGATCGGTAATGGCGATTTTTTTGAATTTTAGGCCTAAAAATGCATTTTAAAAAAATGTCGTAAATCTAAGAGAAAATTTTCTTCAAATTTCATTAAACTTTCCTTGTAAAATCTCAAGGACTTTCTCTCCAAGAACCCCTAGACTTCTTTGCACTTTCCCCATTCTTCCAGCCAACTTCCCTCTTCCTTTTTCTCAGTACATCTACCCTAATTCTGTCCGAGCACTCCTTGCTCAAACAAAAGCCAATTGATTTCCACGGTCTTTTTGTTTGATCATCAGATCAATTGTGTACTTTTATAAAAAGAAGGTCTGTCTGGAGTTTCGAAATGAACGAGGGTCGTTCCGAGGTTTTTTTGTGAATGGAATTCAAGGTTAGGGAAGGAAAAAGTGCAATTTCTTAACAAAGGGTGCAAAAATGGAGGGAGAGATAGAAATTTTTAGGTCGTGAAGGTCGAGTCAGCGGCCAGATAATTCTTTGAAATTTTTGGAAAGTATGACTTTTGCGTATTTTACATGTTTTGCTGTTTGAACCTTTCTCTTTACCCTTTCAAATCCCCGAATTATTGCCTCGGGCCAAACCGTATAAACATGTTTTTCCTCATTTTTTTCATCCATCGACATCCGTGACAAGCCCCGTAAAAACTCATTTTGCAATACGTTAAAAGCAGGGGTGCAGCCGACGGGACCCATTAAAACCCTGGGTGTTCCACATAAAGCCCCGATCCCCTAAAAAAATCACGCATTTTCGGGGCTTTTCATCAACGTATACCATAAAAACCGTCGTGGGTCGCGGGACATAAAAAACGAACATTAGACTTTTTTTTTGAGTTTTTTCGAATTGTCAGATGACTTTTGAGATTTGTTGAAGTTTGACCCCGAGGGTTGAGGAAGCAAAGAACAGGAAAAAATAGAATGGGAATTTCTAAATGTTCAGGTCATATTGCCTCAAGCGATGTGATAATTTGTTTTTTGATTTTTGAGAGATATTTGAAGATCTTTGGAGAAAAGAGACCACGGAAAATGAGCAATAGGTTTTTGACCATATCTTTGTGAATTTCTATCAAAAACAGCTTATTCTTGGTATAGATATTGTCATCTTATGCTAAAGTAACAACTACTGAAAATTGAAGATTATAAACCTCTAAAGGTGACGATTTTTTAGCCGACCAAAAAACTCAACGCCTTCGACAAAGCGCATTAAAAAATCGCTCGTTTTCATTAGGAAATTCTGGTCGTAACTTAACGTAAATGTCATCAAAATCTAGGCTTCGAACTTTGAGCCACTCCCTTGTGTCCAAAAATTAAATTTACAAAAGTTGGCCCTCTTGACCGCAGAATCCATTTTCCAAGCCTATTATTTTTTGCTTTTATCTTCTTGCTCTCTCTACTGTATCCCCCTTACTTTTGCCCTTTTTCATTTCGTTTTACTGCTTTCCCGTTTCCATTACGATTATTTCGGGTTCTCGGAACGCGCCCTCAGGCCAAAAGCACTCTCTTGAGAATCTCATTAAAATTATTTTCCCGCAAAAATGCCTCCGGCTCTCAAACGTCTTTTCCAGACATTCTGAAGGGGCGGTGTTCCGTCGAGTGTTGGACATGTTTCCGAAGCACATGTCTGCCCGGAAATTCGATATTTTTAGGCGTTCCGCCGATATTCTGTTTGGGGCCTGACCTTTGATCCGGAAACCGGGGTTTTTGCGTTTCAAAACGTGATATTCGAAGACATTTTGATGTCATATGGAAGGAATAAAGGCTTGAGATAAATTTAGAGACTTTTTTATTTGGGTTACTGTAATTTGATGAATTTGACTTGGTTTTTAATTTTTTTGCTTTTTCTGAGGCTTGAAGGGATAAATAAATTTCCGGTTTACTCTAAAACTTGGTCGTATTTTATATCCTACATCTCTAAAAATGCAATATCATCATTTCCCCATTTTCTGCCTTTTCATGTAATCCTGAAGGAAATTGAACCTTCTAACTCTCTCAAAAAGCTACTTCCTCCTCATCTTCAACATTCATTTTAATCCCTCTTCCTTTAGTTTCTACGCACATTAACAAAGTCGTGTAAATCCCGACTCTTTCCCCACTCAGAATAACATTTCCGGCTTAAAACGTCCCTAAACCTCCAATAATTATTTTGGGTCGTAAAGTAATTGTCTTCTCAAATTCCGTAATACGTTTCTGAGTCCTTTCAATTGCGAAAGAATAATTTATTTTTACGTTACTGAATGTTTTGAATAAATTTTTTATACAGTCCGTATTTTTAGAAACCCTTGATTCGCGGCATTACTTTTTGGCCGACTAATCGTAAAGTTGTTTATGTCCCGAAAAAGTTGTATAGCCCGCGGGGAACGTGACGGATTCGCGGCTATAATTGAGAATATTTGGAGATTTTTGAGAGGCCTGTAATTTGCGACCGTAAAATGTATTTTTAACCCCGAGATTACCACTAATTTGGATGACATTTGAGATCGAAATTTGTAAAAGTTATTCCTCGGCCCTTTGTGACCTTCAAATCTTCTTCGTTTCCCTTTTATCTCCACTTTTATTGTTTCGATTTTTTGTATTTTATTTTATCTCTCCCCTCCGCCTTTCATTTCGCGGGCTCAGTATAACAGAAAGACCAAACAATCGTTACAAAAAACGTTGTTTTGGCGCCGTTCCTGGCACGGCGGCCAGCACGCTCGTTCCGAGGTCGAGAGCGGAGAAAGAGAAAGTGAAATTGATGGGTTACAGCTGGGAATTCCTCGTTCGTTGCGAGGAGTTGAGGCTCAGGGTCGAACCGACCGATCTTTTACTTTTCTTTTGTGGTTGGAGTTTTTGGACTGGTCAAAATATGAAATTTTTATAAATAGCACTCCATGCTGTCATCTCCACGTTTTAAGCGGGCATTCACAATATATCGGAACTAAATTCTCCACAAAAACATGCCATTAGCAGTGTTTTGTGGTGTCTTCTTGGAAACAGAACATTTGCGCTCTCAAAGCGGCTTTATTTTCGGTATAAATAGATTACAATTAATTTAAAAGGGCAGCAAGTGAGGTTATTTGGCAATCGAACTGACAAAATAGGAAAGAAAAGAGAGAAAATAGGATTTGAAAGGGTTTACATTGCCTTATGTCATCGGACAAGATGCTTTATTTTTTGGAGTTCTTCTGGATCGGAATTTGGGCTATGAAAACTGAGTTTTAGCGGCGGATACTAGTTAGCATAAACTTTATCACAGTCAGTTTTTAAGGGGCTAGTCCCATTATAACACTTGCAATGACCTGATTTATGAACTATGTCATTATATAGACTCCCAAGTGGTCCCAAACGTCTCAATCGCTGATCTCTGCTCACGCGAACGTCTGAGGCAGGCGGCCGGAATGATTGACTTAAACTCTATGTAAACCGAGTTCGTACCAGCCGCCGGTTCACAACAACAGGCCCTTCCACGCGGCTGCTGCGGATCGCCGGGGGTTCACGTTTTCCCCGATTTTTCGGTTATTCTTTGTCCGTGGGAAAGGTCAAAGGGCCTTACTGTACGATCCTTTGTGGGGGTGCTCGGGGGATACTGTGTGATTTTGGGAATGTGGTTAGTCAAACAAAAAATTGTTGCATTTGGAAGGGATTTGAGAGCAATCTTTTGAAAGTTATGATGATTTTTACTATAAACACAGGCTTATTTAGCCCCGCTATATTTCCCCTGTCGCATTTGAAACTGTTTTTTACTCTCTAATTCTATGAACGTTTTTGTTACTTTACGCAAGATAATGTTATCATTTGCAAGTTGACCGGACATTTTGTGTATTGAGAGCTCAAAACGTACTGTAGTTCACGTTTTCATCACGCAAACAAGGAACTCTGTTGTTGCTCATTGTCCATTCCGCTCTAAGACATTCAAAATTCCTCAAATTCTCTGTATCTCGCCCAAAAATTACATCTCTTGCTTATATTTTAATTTTTGATTTCTTGTAAAATTACTTCTTCATAGACGTACGTGGAATAATCACTTATTTCACATACAATTTTCCAACTTTTCCCTCAAAGTTGTGGGTAATTCGAGGAAAATTTGGCAAATTAGAGCCCCAAAAGTCGGGCCTTTCCCCTGCGGCTGTATTATCTCCGTCAGCCGGCTGGCCTATATTATAATACGCCTCGGCGAACAGACATCACACTGGGCCGCTCTCTATCCAATTGCTCGCCGCCCTTAATTGGCAGGCCGCTTTTTATGCGTTCGGCCATGAAATTCGGTGGGGCCCAAAAAAATGCGGAAAAAATGCGTAAAACAGCGACGGGGAGAATGTTTTGGCGGGAGGACAGCTCATTTCCCACTGACTAGTCACTCCCCGTCTCCCTCCTCGTGTTTTATATGCGAGGGGAGGGAGGGCGGCCAGTGTTTCGTCCCCTCTAACCTACGAAATTTCGTTTAGTTTTACGAAATTTGGGCAGTTGCGCAAGAGGGCCACGTTTTCCTGCTAAAGTTAGTAGTGGGCAGGACGAGTTGAAGCTGTTTATGGTTAAAAAAGGGGGTTTTTGCGGGGCTTTCAAGGGCTTTTCAGGCATTTTCGGGATAAAAATAGAGATTTTTTGGGATTTCGAAGAAGATATGATTCGTTTGTTGCTTTTTGATGTATTATAACTTGGACCACCTGTTGTTTCGTACGTATTAGAGAAGTCTACTTCCTAGACGACATTTTAAACGACAAAAAAAATCAAAAATTTTTTTGCATACTTTACTTCTTTTCAAAAAATTCGCTGAAATATGCGTATTCCGCGCAAAATCATCAAAAATTTGATGACTTTTTACTTTAATCCACTAAATCATCGTGCTGCTCGGCGTCGGCGACTTTTCCGAGTTCCATAAAGCCCCCATTTTTTTTGGCAAATCTGCTGTTTTATGGATTCCGAGCCCCTGGAAACGGCTCTTCCAGACGACCTGGACCGAGGGACCGTTCCCCGGCCAACAAAGCCGGGCCCACTTTTACAATTCTGAATACGTTTCGCGGGGACAAAGCCCGCTCTCCGGGAAAAGACATTTTTTGCCGCGGCGAAAGTCTATTTCCCTCAGGGCATAAACAAGTTTTTTGGGGGGCTTTCGAAATGACGGGATTTCTGGAGGGGAATTTATCGAATTTTGAAGAGAATTGTTGGGGAAACTTGTTGCAAACCGCCGTGGGAAATGCGCTGAGGGTGACAAAGTGTTTCAAGGTGCGGAATTTTTATATCATGTTAGGTATTCAGTCAGAAAAAGACTATTCTTGTCTTAACATCGCTGTAGAACTGCTCAGACTACTCTAAAATCTCCCGAGACCTCACAAAATACAGTTTATTTTTAGCCGTAGTATCGTATATATTTTTTTCTCCACACGGCGGCCCTTCCTTTTTTGTGATCTCATTAAATTTCCACTCCTTCTCGGGCCCTTAATGAGCCCGGCCAAAGGAATTTCATTTCAGTCCGTGTGATAAATAAGGCCAGAATATTTGCTGGGACTAATGGATCTCTGGAAATGGACATAATCCATTAAAATATTGCTTTGACGCGCTGTGCAATGGGCGGAAAAGAAGGAAAATATATGTTTTGCGATTGCATTTTTCGAATTTTTTCCCGGAGAAAGTTAATTCTACCCAAAAAAAAATTTTTTTTTGTCCCATTTTCTTTTTTTGACCCTCTTCTTCCTCATTCCCTCCTCCAACCCTCATAAATGCTCGGGAAATTAAAATGCCCTCTGGGCTTTAACAATATACTTTTCAAATCTTCCGCCCAAACAAAACATTAAATGCCAAGACCACGAGCAATGGCAGCACGAGACCATGTTTGTCTACATTCCCGGCCCCAACCCATTTATTATTTTACTCTCAGAACAGGTGTCGCCACGCATTCCTTTACCGTCTTCGAGCCACGAGTTAATTACATGACTGTCCGTGGTGTCGGAGTGCCAAAAATTGAGTTTAGTTTTGGTTTTACTTCCACTTTTTACGGATTTTCGGAGTTTGGTTCATTGCACAGTGCGGTAAGCGGAAAACTGGTCATTTCAAAGCGCAATGAAACTACAGAAGGCTTATTCTTGGCCTTTAGGCCTAAATACATTCATATTTTTTATTCCAAAATCTTTTTCCCTCAGGCTATATTTGCACTGTGCAATTTCAATTTTTCTTCCCATCGCACCGTGCGAAACCAAAAATAGTTCCGGGCACTGTGCAAAAGAGTAAAAAATTCATTTTTATAACGTTTATAAATCCCCATTGCCCCAGAAAATGGTAAACGACAGATAATTCGACTCCAATTTGTCCAGTTCAATTTTTAAATCAGATATTTTGAGTGCTAAAATCGAAAATTTTTGCGCCAAACTCCTTCCGTCTTGGTAAATCCGATTTCGAAACAGTCTCTGAAGGAATTCTTTCTCCGACCCACGTCAATGGGCGTTCTTTTGAATTTTTTCTTTTCAATTTTTCGTCGGTTTTTTCAACGTTTTTTTGAGGCGGAAGAGAGGAGGTAAACGTTGTCAGGGGGAGTTAACTAGGGTTTCGAGTGAGTCTTGGGAATTTTTGGGTGTTTAAGTAGTCATAGTAACTTTTTTCATAACTTTTTTGATTGAATATTACCTAAAAATTGAAATTCGTAAATAAATTTTAAATCGTATTTTACAAAAATTTGAAATTTCCAAAATTGATGACAAATCACGTCTAGTGTCTAAACCTGTAGTTTACAGTTGATATATCATCATTCTGTTTATAAACATCGCATTAAAATCCGCTTTTCTCCCGGGAGAAACAGATGACTAACCCATTCAGCCAATGACGGCGTAAACACCTGTTTACGGGCAAATCTCCCCCGGCTGGAACAGTTGATTCGGAACGTTCACAGAGTGCGTTTTCCGTCGTTCGCGTCTTATCATCACACTCGAGGGGCGTCATGGGACTTTTCGAGAAGGATTCCACTGATATTCCCCTTGCTTTGATCGTGACTTTGACCCCGATCCCGATCTTCGAACGAGGAAATTGGGTGTTTACATGGCTGAACACCGCCTCTGCTATATTTTAGAGCTCAAAGTTTTTGTTTTCTTCGGTTCGAAGACGGAGTAAATAAGACTTTTAGCAAAAAGGGTGCCTATTTTTGGTCATGTGTGATTTCTCGCGGTTTCCAAGACTCTTCACGCCGAGTTTTTATTGCTTTTTCTACTTTACTACATTGTAATCCAATTTCAGATAATTACTCGTCTTGATTCCCACTACAAATTGCGTGAGAGCCCTTGCAAGTTGACTTTTTTTTAAAAATTTGTCACTTTTTTGTATTTTTCACGAAACATAAAGCCATAAGGGCATTAGCTGTATTTGTAAGAAAGATACTGTGGGATAAATTCTACACTGTAATCTTGATTTTAATCGCAAAAAACTTTCGTTCAAAAACCGTCTTCCCTGCGAAAACAGCCTTCCAAAATCGAGAACAAGGCCGTTTTTCCCGCTCAAATGTAACCTTGGCGAAAAGTCAGGTTCAAAAATTGAAAAAAAACTGAGATCTCATGGTAACGATAGACATCTTACCTTCATTGCCTCGACGTTTTTCCAGACAGACAAGACGAGCCGGGGGCTCTTATCTGGAAGTGAAAGGAGCCCCTGGACTCGTTTTTTAGTCAAAGATAGTGCGTTCTAGGAGTGGCATATTCTTATCTGCGAGCACGCCAATTTGATTTTGGAAAAAATATATTTCTGTCAGAAGCTGGAGCTGCGCCCCATACTTCTGAAAATATTAATGCCATGTTATACGAAAGCACTTTGAAACCGCTTTTTGCCTCAAAAACCGGTTTAAATTGCTAGTAGGGCAATAATTTTAGTTTCCTCAGATCTCACACCTTTTTAATATTATTTATGAGCGATAAACTGAAAAATAATTTCCAAAATTGCTTTATTTAATTTTTATTGTAAATTCCCCAATTTTTGTCCTGGGGCTCTGGCGGTGGCTGCCCCTTCCTGTCGATTTTGGGACCTGCAGTACGTATTCGTGATGGGGTTTGTTTCCAAGAACGTTCTAAAACCAAAAAACGTATAAAAGTCAAGGTATTCAAAAATAACCCCACCGGGCACAAAATTAAATCGAAATTTTCTCGAAAATTAAATGTCCGATTTTCGAAATTTTGACGGATTCTGAAAGCCCATGCTTGAAAGCATAAACGATCCTAAAATGAAGAAAATCCCACGTTTAATCTTACCGATCCAGAGGAAACACCAAAGTTTTCTTCATCCTGGGGTACTGTAATATCCGAGTTTTCGTCGTTGTCTTTCTGGGAAAAAACGTGGCCTCGTGTCCTAGAGTTTGATGTTCTCATCGGAGTTCTGTTGGTGACGTTTTCAAGGACATTCTGAAACCATAAAACCAATTAAAATCAAGTTTTTCAAAAAAACCCCCCTCCGGCAAAAAAATTAAATCGAAATTTTCTCGAAAATTAAATGTCCGATTTTCGAAATTTTTGCGGATTCTGAAAGCCCATGCTTGAAAGCATAAACGATCCTAAAATGAAGAAAATCCCACGTTTAATCTTACCGATCCAGAGGAAACTTCGAATTTTTGGTCGTCCTGGGGTACTTTAACATTGCCATTATCTTCCAGAGTTTTGAGTCTTTTTCTCTCGACCAACAACTGGGCCATTTCCTGTCGTCTTCGTTTCTTCTCCTCTCTCCTCTCCGCTGATGCGGAGACTCGCGCGTAGCATGATTGTGAAAATCTATTCGAATTCATCTAAATTAAAAAATCCTTAATTTCAGTTTTTGAAGCGTACCTCCACGTAAAGCGACGATATGATAAAAATCGAAGTACCATTTGAAAGCTGAAGCAATTTGCTACAATTCCATAAGAAAACATCCTAAACTTTCACCCCCAAAAAAAAGTTACCGTTCATCCAAATTGACACACTAAAATATTAATTTTGAAAAAGGCCGCCTAACTCGGCAGAAAATTTTTTTTTGTCTGTCTTTTTTGTTCACTTTTTGATTTCTCTGCATTGATTCTGCATATTCTGATTCTTTCTGCATTGATGCTGTTATTTTCTGCCGTTTTATTACGGTGTTTCTGCGGAGAGGAACAGTTGTCCAAAATGGCCGGGGAGAGACTTGACTCGATCAATTTTTTTTCCATTTTTTATGTTTAGACAAATTGGCGTGCTGCGAGCACTGAGGAGCCCCTAATTGCATTTAGCATTTCTTAATTTAAACAAATTTAAAAAATTTCAAAAAATTTTTTTTGCCATACTGTGCACAATTATTTTTTAAAGTTTCAAAAGTTTAGCAACAATTTCTAAGCCTTCCAAAATGACTTCCCGACTCGTTAGAGCCGCTAATTGCTTTACAAACTCTTCAGTTTGTATGGGAAATCTCATCAAAGTTTCAAAATCACGTCAGAAAGACATGTGTTGCACTCCCTTTCCCTCTTTTCTCTGCAGCCCTTTTCGTCTCCTGGGTCCGGGGATTTCGACAGAATTTGCAAAACAGTGTTATCGTCGGCGATGTAAACAATTCAAGTTTTGAGTTTGATGTATTGTGAGGCTAAAATTAGAGGCCGCTTTTTGATGCCTTTTCGTACATTTTCTGGGCCGAAAAGTGGAGAAAACGGCGTTTTAATGGATGGGGAAGATGAAATAGAGTAGTATTTAGCCCATCAGATAGCATAATCTGGCGCTTTCTCATTTTTTAGGCAAAGAAATTTACTATTTTTTCGAAAATTTTGAGATTTTTGACCAAAAAATGACTAAATTATTCAAAGGTCTGCTTATTTTTCGTTCTTTTTGTCTCTAAAATTTAGTCGGTTAGGACAAAGACTCTCTAGTTTCCGCCCTTACGGAACTTTCTACACCCCTCCATTCACCTTCTTTCTGTCCGCTTTCCCGGAACAATAGGGCAATAAAACCGATGCGCGATGGAATTCAATACTGTCTGGAAACCACCCCAAAGCACTTTTTTCTCCGAACTTTTTTTTGTAAATAAAACGAGACGGTTGACAGATGGGAAGGCGCTCGTAAAAACGTCTGGAGTGCGCGACTTTTCCAAAAAAAAAATTTTTTTGTCACCGTCTTTAGTTCCATTTTTCGCATTTTTTTCTACCATTTCCTACCCTCCTCCCCAAAAATCAAAAAAAAATGTGGAGTGCACGGTGCGCTTCCCATTTCGTCCGAATTTCCCAATCTTTTTTGGAGACCTTGATCTCCATCTTCTTCTTCTTCCCTTCACGATGAGGAGGAAGAAGGATTTCTCTCTCCTCGCCCTTAGTTCAGGTTTAATGGAGGTTTGGATTCAGAAATTGAATAGGAAAAAGAAAGGGGGGTTTCGCGATTTTCGATCCCTTTTTCCATCTCTCGTTTCGGGGCTGGATTTTCGGTTTTTGCAGAGGAAAAATGGGGGTTTCGATCGGGGAAGACGGGCGGATTTTTGGGATTTGAATGAGGATTTGGGATGGAGTCGTCAGTTTTCGATTAAATTTTCGGCAAATTTCCCGAGTTTTTGACAGAAAACGGGATTTTTTAATCGAAAATTCGAATTAACGTTAGAGTTTCCTCTTTATTCATTTGATTCTGCCTCTAAGAAATTATTACAAAGCTTACATTTATGATGTTTCACTTCTCTAATCTCGTATTTTAAAAAGATCAAGCGTTTTTGCTGATTGCACTGTGCAGTGGAACTTTGAGAGCTCATTACACTGTGCAGTGAACATTTTTTGGACCTCCAAAGTACTGGCATGGCACAACGTAAATTCTAAACTATTGTTGGCGATATATGACTCAAAACAATTACTTGATTTTTCAAGAAACCAAATTTTATTTTTTACCGCACAGTGCAATAAGAAAACGTGAAATTGCACTTATTTTTTTGGTGATAAAACTAGATGATATAGTATCTTGTACGTTAATTGTAGCGTATTTTACCAAAAAAATGTATCGTTTGTTTTACCATTACAGTGAATTTTAAATTTTTGCACCGCGATAAATTTCAAAACTTAATTTTTTGCAAGAAAAACACTTTTTGTTCGACAATTACTGTTTAGCCCCCAAAAACATTCACCCAAACTATCAACAAGCAATTTTTGCTCTGATTCGAAAACCAGCAAAATCCAAAGTGCATTTGCACGAAACATTTGCTGAAAATTGGGGAAAATTCATGTCGGAATAAAGAGGAATCGAATCATTCTCCCATCCCATTCCGCGCGCAACAACGCGTTTTCTGTTCGCGCAAGACCCTTTTCTCCCTTTGCGCTCTTTGTCTTCGGTCTTAAAAACGTCTGTCGCTGTTGGGTTTCCGCAAAACATTCCGCGCTTTTTCGGTGCTTAGCGTTTCCCTCTGTTCGGATGGGGGGATTTGTTTTGCTTAAAAGTGCATTCGAGGTACGGACCGTACGATTTTTTCGGGGTTTTGGGTGATTTCTGACGGCGAAATCAGTCATTGCACAGTGCGATTAGTCATGGAAGAGTTATAGACCGTGTGTGTTTTGTGAATCACGTGTGGAACTTTCTTATCGCCGGGTTTTCCGGTCTCTAAAAAGGTTTAGCGAACTGCAATTGTAATATCTTCGGATTGCACAGTGCAGTCAGAATCTTTTTGGTGCTGCACAGTGCAGAATAAAAAAATTTTGAAAAATCTAAATGCTAATGAATTACGAGTGGTATTGGCTTTGAAAAAATTAAATTTGACGGGCTCTTTCTTCGAAGGAGCTGTCACAAGTTCGTATTTTTATCGAATTAACCTATCCCACATGTCTGCTCGATTTCCTTTTCCTTCAGATGTCAGTTCTATAAAACAATATTAATATCTTAAAAAGTACCCAAAAAATTCTAATTGCCTCTTAAAATTCTCTTTTTGTCTGTCCACAAGACCCCACTACACCCAGGATTAATCATATTGCCTTTTGTTTTGCGTAATTTGCATAAACAAACAGTTGTCACCGCTGTTTGGGGGTTTACAAGCGCAAAACAGCCAAACAGCCGTTTTATCGAGGGCCATTAAAGCTCGCTGTGTTACGCATATTGAATAACCCATTACATGGTTATCTTGATTAAAACGCCGAAGATGGAGTGCGCTTTTCGCTGCGGTCGCTTTGATACGGCGGATCGGGCTTTTTCGGTTTTTAGGGGTTAATAAAATGGATGAGGGGGATTTTGTGGGGGGAAGCAGGGGCTCTCATGTCACGCAAACTTGTTTGAAAAGCGTTTTAGTTAATAATATCGGGTCAAAATGGTAAAAAACCGGGACCTTCGAAGGAGAAGGTCGTTTTTTGGAGAATTTTCGATAAATAACCTCATTTTAAGTTGAAAATTCATAAATTCCATTGTAGAAAGGTCGTTTACAAACGTTACAGAGTCATTTCTAAAATTTCTGTTTACCTATCTGCCCCCTCAATCACTCCTTTCGCCGATTTGGCCCCATCTGCCAGCGTTTACTCAACCTTTCATAAATTTCGCGCGAACAGACGCGCTTCTGACAAGTTTAAGGTTACTTTGTTAAGGTCATCTGGTTTGTTTTATCAGACCAAGGTTGCGGAGTGCGCGCGAAATGTCATCATTTCGCTGATCAAACCCGAATCTCTCTTTTCCGATGAAAAAGTGGGATGATAGAGGAAAAACTATAGAAACTTGGGTTCAAAACGATCGTTGAGAGCTATCAAAGAGGTTAGAGAACTTAATGCTAAAATTTTCAACGAATTTTTATATCAAATTTTGCTAGCAATATCTGAAAAAACACAAATTTTTGGCTTTGTCTGCAAAAATCAATTTTCTCGTCAAATTTTTGCTTTCACAAAAAAACTACTACTGTTTACGACTAGCTTATGGTAGTATCAAAGATTACCAATCGCGACTTCTCTCCGAAAACCAAAAACTTTTCGTTTATCAGCTCTTTCCCCCCAGACTCCCCCTTTTTTGTTATCATTCGATCCTTTCCCAGCCCCCATTTCCCGGAGCCTATCAAAAAACTTTGTCTATTAAAACATAAAAAAAATATTCGCTGATTCATCGTCTTATTCACCCATTTTTTATTGCTTTTTGTATGTCGCGAAACAAGAGCCAGACGAATTTTCGGATTTTTAATCAAAATTTTCTTAAATTTTTACGTTTTTTGGCCAAATTTTAAGTCTTTTGACGGCCAAAAATCCTGTTTAAATTCGTTTTAGCGGCGAAACGAAGGCCTTTGTATTCGAGTAGTTGCAGAAAAATGTCTGTTTTGTGGGAATTGGAAACGTAGCGATAAAATTACTGTAAACAGTCGAAGACGTGGAAATTTGGGGTAAACAAGCCATTAAAAGGGCGAAAACTGATGATTTTTGAGTTATAAAATTGATGGATTGCTCCGTATTTTAACTTTTTATCATGTAGCAATATGTTTACCAACCTTTCTTATCAATTGTTTCAAAATTCCCACCGGAAATTTGGAGAACTTTTATTTTTTTTTTGATGCCTCTGCCAAAAAAATCAATTTTTTTTATTTTTTTGTGACCACAAATCCCACATCACAATTCTGAAGCGGCTTGCAAAGTAATCGGCCCCCCATAATCTTTGAAACTCTCTCTCCAAAAGCCTTACACTCGAGTTTTGAAACTCGGAGACAAACAACTTTTTTTCCCTGCTTCCGACTGATAATCAGCACTTTATAAACAGGCCCTCGGGGCGAGCTCTTATGTCTGGGGAGCACATGATCTTTTCCGATCGGGTTCGCGAGGGCATGGGGGAGGGGTTTTGGAAGCGGAAGACGGGGAATGGCGAGATTTGGGGTCATTTTCAAAATATTTTGGCGAGTTTAAAGTTGTTCCTTTTGACATGGGAGACTTCAGAATTTTGTTTTCTTACTCATTTAGTTAGTGTTTTCTAGTGAAAAAATCAGTGAGAAACATTGACATCGCATTAAAGGAGAAGGAAAAAAGGTCATACGATCTATCTGCCCTTAGGGTTTTTTCTCGAAATTATTTTTAGTCGATCTAAAAGCTACCGTCTCTGGGCGGCTGCTTTTATTTTTAGTTAAAATTTGATATTTTTTTTTTGATTTTCTTTAATTTTTTTTTCAAAATTAAGCAAATTTTTAAATTTTTTCAATAAAAAAAATTGGGATCACGCCTTTTCCTTTTCCAGATTGACGTCGGTTGGTTACATTGGGAACTCTCAATAATGGAATTTTCTTATCTTTTTTGTTATGTTTTGTTAAATCTCCCGTTTCTAATGTCCATCTTCCTATTATCACGTTCACTTTTGTTGTTCGTTTATTCGCAAAAACGTTTCTCCACGGCACCTGAACTTTACTGGAGAGCTTTTATTTTCGATGGATTTGCAAAATGAGAAAATTCAGTCAAAACTTTTTTGCAGTTTACTTGCGAATTTTTCGATTTCAAAAATTGCAAAAAATATTAATTTTTGGCATTTTTAAAGCTGAAAATTCTTTTAGTTTACGTCTTATAAAATCTTAAGCTAAATTTAATTAATTTTACCCAGTTTTCACCATGTGACGGGTCAAGAATTTTTTGTCTTAAGTTGTCTTATGACCTACAAATTTTTTCAATTTCACAGATAACGTTTTTCATGATGAAATCGTCGCCCAAATTTCCAATCATCAACTTTGTTGACCTTTATTCTTTAGTAAATTTCCTCAAATTCTTTGACTTTCCCCAAAATTCCTTCATTTTTTCATTAAAAAAAGTTTTTTTTTGAAAATTTCCCTCAAAAATCGCCCGAATTACTGGCTAAGCCCCGTTCGAAGTAAAGGTTTCTGTTCGCCTAAAAGGGCGTTGACGTGGCGCTATAACTCTTCTTCCCTTCTTCCATCGTTTTATCAATTTATAAACCCGAAGATGGCGGTGTAATGACTGGCGGGTTGGGAAATCGTTGCGGTGTTATGATTGGGAACCGTCGCCGTTTCGTACCATTCGCAATATCATATTAGTTTTTTTTCTCCGTCATTTTATGCTTTTTTTATTTTTCTTATTGCGACATTACTGTAGCTGAGATTTGAGTTTGGAGTTTTTATAGCGTCGTCAAAAGTATTGTAAAGATTCTGCGGGCTCTGTTGAGAGATTAGTAGAGGATATTCGATATGGATATGGGGAAAATTTTTTCAAAATTTATTACACTTTTTGATAAAAAAAAAAACATTTTCGATAAAATTAGTCAATATTTTGATGACTATTCCTATTAAATTATTGACTCAGTCGTTTATCAAACGGTCTTTTACACCTAAAAAAATTGTTGTAAATCAGCCTCTCAAAGATTTTTTTCTCATTTGACCAAAAAGATATCTATTTTTTTAATTCCAATATATTTTGATGACTAATCTGATGGAAAGCTGTTTAATGCTCCCAAAATTATCTATGAAGCTCTGAGATGACTTGAGGAATCATTCAAATGAATAATTTTTCCTCCAAACGTCTTTCCCCACCTGTTTTCTCCCTTTTCTCTCTCCCTTTCCCATGTTTCATTCAAATTTCCGCGAGTTCCATTTAGTTTTTGCCTCGAAAATCCTCGATCCCTCGCCTCAAAACAATTGCAGGTGTAAGGTCAATGGCGTAATTGCCGCGTCCAAAGACTCCTTTATCCGTGCGGATTTTCTGCACCGATTTTTGACAGAAAAAAATGTTTCGCAGAGAAAAATTATTTTCTTGGACTCGGACAAATTCATACGTAGATTGAAGATAAATGGGTGTCTGCATGGCTGAGGGGTTGCAGCAGGATTAAGAAACATCTGAGGGACATGAAAAATAAATTGAAGGGAAATCTAAGGGGTTGAAAGAGAAATTAAGGGGATTTTTGACTTAATTTAGATGAAGCAAGTATCAAATATTGTTCTTCGTGCTGTCTTTTCCATAATCCCTCTTTTTTTACTTCTATACACATCTGAATTTGAAATTTGTTACCTAAAATTTTATTTTTTGGCCATTTTTCGCGGTTCTTTTGAATTTTAAAATTTTTTCTCAGTTTTTTTTTCTTACCCATGTAATTTCAGGCCATTCCAAAGCCACAAACCTCCTCTTCTCCGCATCCCGACCCCTCCACGATGCTATTTCCGACCGCTTTGCCTCAAAATCTGCCCTCCGGGCAGCCCTCCCAACCCACCCAACAGTGGAATCTGCCGGCCGCCCTAGCCATGCTGCAACGACACCAGCAACTCCAGCAACAAACCCAACAAAAGCCGGCCCCACAACCACAGAACAAACAAGTGTTCAACGAGTTGCAGCAACTTTTGCATCAAGAGGCGCAACGGCAACACATTCAGCAGTTGTTGGACTTCCAGCAGAAGCAAATGCTCGCTGCGGCCGTGCAGGCGTCCTCGGCGTTGACCACCCCCACTTCGAGCATGCTGCAGAGCTCGTTCCGCAACGCTCCGTTGACGCCGGATCATTGCGCGGAAGAGAAGAGCCTCCACGGACATGAAACGGTAAGGCTTTGGGGGTCTGAACAGTTGAGCGGTTGGTCTTGTGTGTGAAAAGTATTGCATAGGTGTTTAGTATAAATAAAATACAAATTTAGGTTATATAAGTATCTGAATATTGTTTGCAATTTTAATTATCAAAAATTTTCATTTTTTTGAAGCGAATTACAGTATTTTTTGATGATTGAACGGTTTGTGGAGGTACGCTGAACTTTAAAAGAACAATTTTGAGAAGTTCAGGGTTTCTTTAGAGACCTGAAAATTATTTTTGATCATTTTTATCACAAAGTTTTGACCAATTCTTTATCTTCAGACCGAATCCCGAGCCCCCGCCCATCCCCAGTGGATGTCCCCGCCTTTGACCTCCCTTACGCCGGCCTCATCCGCCTCCCCCATGCAATGCCACGTCGAGGAATCGAAGGCGACCTCATCGGATCGAGACACCGGCTTCAGCGACGGATCCCCCTCCTCCATCGAGGCCGAAACCCCACCGCCAAAGGTGTTCAACGTGAGTGATGTCAGCGAGAAGTCGGACGCGACCCCGCAAAGTCTCAAGTCTTCCTCCACCCTCACTCCCGCCTCCAGCAATTCGTCGACGGATTCGATTGATGGACACGCCATTCCGTTGATGGAGACCCCGAAAAAGAAGCCCCGAAAATCGATGGAGACCCCGAAAAGACCGACGAAAAGGGCGGCGAACGGCAAGAACGGGATCAGCCCGAAGAAGGCGAAGCTGATGGAGATGCTGCTGAACGGAGCCCGAAGCCAGCTGCCCAAAAAGTTCCGCGATCTCACCGAAAACGAGAGCATTGCGGTCGCCGTTTTGGCCGGCCTCGCCAGTGGCCAGTTGTAAACCCGGTAATGGACCGAATCCCCGCAATTTCCCAGCCCCAATCTCCTCACTTTCTCCGGCGATTTCGGTCCGCAAATCAGTGTAAAATATTTTTTTTCGATTTTTTCTCTCCAGTAAACAATACCAAGCTGTTGTTCACGGTCTTTTACCATCAATTCGGGCCATTATTCCTCGATTTTCGACAAAAAATCGCAAGATTTTTGGGATCTTTCTGATTTTTTGATGATTTTTGCGAGGCTTGTCGAAAATCGAGAATTTTTTTTGGAAAATAAGGGAAAACCCAAAAAAATTCGGTGCAAGTAACACACAGAGTCTATTACACTACTGTCTAACGGCTAAACAATTTGTTTTCCATAGGAATTTCCTCAAATTTAATCCGAAATAGGGGTAATTTTTGAAATTTTTTTCTCCTAAAATACGATTGTATAGAATTGAATCTTGTTCACAACGAGTTTTCAATCGGTTCTCTTCTTGTTATAATAATCAAATTTATATTTTTTTGATGATCTCCGTTGTTGTTCCAATTTCCTCTCCAAAAATATTGTTCATGGGTTTCAATATATTTGTATACTCTCCCAATTGTATTTGAATACTCTTCCTTTTTTTGTCTTTTTACAATGTAAAAATCGCGTTGAAATTGCAAAAAAAAATAAATAATTTTTTATATTGTACTTGGCATTGTTTGAAAAAAATTTGAAAAATCTCAAAAAATTAGAATAAATTTGGATGAAAAATCAATTCAAAGTTTCCCAAAAATTGTGACAATAAAAATTTTTAAAAATTTCCGGTCATTTTCGTTCACTTTTGACTTGAAGAATGGTCCAAAAGTACTTATTCCTGCCGCCCAGTGGATCCAAACAGAGCCTCGAGGCATGGGATCTTGGCTATGGACCTGGAGAGCATCTGATCACACACACTGTGATCGTCTCAATTATTGTGGGTTTTGAATATTTATTTCATCGTTTTGCACTGTGCAGACCTTTGGATTTTTTTATTTTCGCGCTGTGCAATGACTTTTTCGCTTTTTTTGCACAGTGCAAAGTTCTCTTTCGAATTTTTCGCACTGTGCGGAAGAATGCTTTCCGTTTCTTATTTCTAAGCCTACCTTAGACATTCGTTGGCTCTCTTCTGATCACCCTGGTCTACCTTGGCCAATGCGATAGGCGTATTCTGAGTTCGGAGAGACTTCGCAAGATCTTCAAGCTGATGGATGAGAAGGAGATTGAGAAACACTTGGAGGGCGATTGGGTTGAGAGTCTGGCAACTATCGAGTAAGTTGACTAACACATTACTATAAGGGGGAAATTTTTTGGACCATTTTTTATTTTTGACTTTTTTGGATGCTGCTGACAGATCATGTAAAAATTATTTTTTGGATCTTGTCATAAAATAATTTCCATTATTCTCTGCAATTTCAGTACCGAAGACCCTTCGGCTGCAGGTCGTATGCCAGGAACCCCATTGGATGGCAATAGGTCTCCAGCTGTGATCACGCCCAGTCTTATGGCCCAAAATCCAGCGCTTTCCCCCACCTCTCCTGGCACTCCAAATTCTCCGTTGCCTCCGGGCATCAGAGAAATGGCCGTCTCTCCGAGTCCAAATATGGCAAATCCCCCACCGCCTCCGGATCAATTCCAAAACAATCAATTTGCCCCTAATTCTCCCGGCAATTTTGCGCCAGGAGTTAATGCCGCTGGCGGTGAAGGAACTTTGTTGGCATCGATTAATAGGCCCTAAAAGAGTTGGAATCTCTTGGCTTTACTTTTAATTTGAATAAACATTTTTTTTGGAAAAGGCACTTCTTTTACCGAAGATCATTTCTTCGAGCTCTGAGAGTTAGGCCATTTATGGTCCTATAAAGCGTAGAATGTTCTCCGAGAACGAGTGAATCAACTAAATTCTGAATCATAATGAACTGCCGACTTATGAGTTTTATGACTAGGACCGTTAGTAAATGTCAGCCCAATCAGTTCGTTATATAAACACCTCTAAAGGGTTCTACAAAACATGACTTAAACCATGTTAAAGATCATCGCCTTTGGTTTGTGTCTTGTCCTCACGGTGAATGCCGATTTTTTTGACGGTCTCAACCTGAGGAGCAATTGGTATATCCAAGTCAATGGGCAGCTAAAATGCGATGGAAATCCGATCGCCGGGATGGTTGAACTGTACGACATTGAAAGTAAGGCATAAGGTAATTTTTGGATGAATATTCAGTTGGTCCCACCTTCACAGCCAAGGATTACGATCTGCTGAACAAAACGGTAACCAGTGACGACGGTAGATTTGAGCTGTATGGAAGTGAAATGGGATATGTTGGATTCCAACCAATCCTTCGAGTTTTTCATAAATGTCATTGTGAGTTTCATCAAAATCTACAAGTTGCGGGTTGGGCTCTTGCAGTGAAAGTCTCTGCGTTAGAATAACACCCAAACTACAGACATATTATGTCTAATTTTAGCACAAGTGGCACGCGAATTATGGGTTACAATTCCCTTTTGGCAAGTCCACACTGACGATGAGCCCGGTCAGAATTATCCTACAGTAATTGAGCTTGGATCGGCATAATCTAATGTCTGCTCTACATTATTTTTGATTCGAAATAAAACTAATTTTTATTATAATATGAAAGCTCTGTAAAGAACTCTCACAATGAAGCTGAGTCAGTGGACATGCAAGAAGCGAACTTTCCAGAGAACATAGACATTATTCAAGAGGTCTTTTGATCTTTTGATAAGAAAATTTATTTTTTTCGCGTCCCTTTTTTCAATTGATTCTTGACTGAAAATCAAGGCATTTCAAGTGCTAATGAGCTTAATTAACTGGTCTTTCACGGTTACTCTGCTAATTTCTTGTTGTAATGGCATCGTAAGTTTATTTTAAAATTTATTTCGAATAACATTCATATTTTTTAACATTTTTTGCAGTTTCAAATTGAAAATTGAATATTTTAGCCGTTAAACTGCCGCGATCATTATAATGACGGCGATAGGATTGGTGGTGTAAGGACGGTTGACATCAATCATCAAAAAATTGAAGTGTTCTGCGATCAGGAAACTTACGGAGGAGGTTGGACGGTCATCCAGCAAAGAGTCGATGGATCCGAGCCATTTTGGAATCGGACTTGGGACGAGTACAAAAATGGATTTGGAGCACTTGGAAAGGTAAGGAAAAGTAAGGCTGTAATAGGTTTTTCCCAAAATTATTTGGCAAATAATCTGTATCTTCAAATCAATTTTCTAAAATTTTGAACTGCATTTTGAGAACTTCCAAATTTCAGAACTCAAGTTTCTACGCCGGCAACGAACTGATCCATCTTTTATCGAAACAGTACGGCCAATTTGCGACTCTTCGAATCGAACTTTACGGGGATCAGACGCCCAGAAGTCCCTACGCCAATGATTTTTATTTCCAACACTACAATTTTACCGTAAGCTCAAAGTTTATCAAAAAATAATTTTTTTTAGCTAGCCGATGAAGAAGACTTCTATCGTATGAAAATCTGGCTTGATTGGGCTATAATTGTTGGGAACGCGAGCGCCGGTTGGTATGACGTCACCTACAGTAATAACATTGCTTTTTCGACCATTGACAAGATCAGTGACCCGGATAAACAGTGTCAGACCAAGTTTAGAATGGGGTGAGTGGATTCTAGAGGCGTATTTTACTTTATTAAACCCTGCTCATAGATGAAATTATTACAAAACTCATGTTTCAGTGGCTGGTGGACCCATTATTGTGGAGTAGCCTCTCTAAATGGCGAATATACCCCTGAACATGGACAATATGGGAAGGGTTATGGAATGTACTTTACTATTCTCGGATTGTACATTGTGCATCCGGTCAGAGTCAGGATGTTGGTCAGGGATAATCGATTATAAATATAAAAAGATCAATTTTTGTGAAATTTGAATAAAAAGTATTATAAAATTTACGTCGTATAAAATGTCGCCTTATTAGAAAACATGCGTTTTGATAAACATGTCCAATTCTTTCGACAAAAATCTTTTCTCTTACAAAAAATTTTTATTTTTACCAGTAATTCATCACAGTAACAACAAAAAATGATATGGCACTAAAACAACAATGGCATGAATTTACAACAGTAACATTAGTTGACAAAAATAGAATTCTTCAGATGAGGTGCAAATTTGATTTTCTCTAGGCTCAATTTGAACAGATATTCGAAGATCTCGGCCATAATTTTGGTTTCCTTCCAATCCCTTCCAAAATAAAAAGCTCCATGATTTCTGACGAGAACGGCGCTGCATTCTGGATAGGCAGTCATGGCTTCACGGATTCGAATTGAAAACTAAAAAGCACTCACTTTAATGGACGTATTTTACAAAAAAATTGGCAATTTTTTATGCAAATTTTTGACAAAATCATAAAATTATGCAAATTTTTTATCTAAAAAAGCTTTTATAATGCCTTCCAAATATTTACAGCCTCCCTATACATCTTACACCACCCAAATCCCCCACTTCCTTACCTCCGGAGCTCCCTCACTTGGAGCATTTTCAATAATTGGAATAACGCATTCCTCCGTGTTAGTGTAAGGCCGTCCAGTCTGTCGATTGATGATTCCTTTCAGCATTTCCTCGGTATCAAATCTCACAGCCGTATATGGACGTTCAGTTGGAAATGAGGAGATGAGATTTGATTCCACGGAATGGCTATGGATCACGGAATTCAGGTAATTGCGGGTGTGATGGGTCTCTAAAGTAATATTTTGAGTGAGAGAAATTGATTAGGACCGCACTCTGCATATCAAAAATCCATCCAAAAATTATAACTTACCCAGATGATGACTAAAATAATATAAAACTACCTATAATAATTTCCCTCCAAAATAAATCCAGATGACTATAAATTTTTTCAAAAGTAAATCAATCCTTTCTTTGCCTCAAATAAACCCTATTCTACCTTACCATGAGTCAAAAATATCGTTGAAAACAACTTGAAGCAAGAAGAGATCACATTTGGAGATGCCGGTGCTAACAGAACTTCTCCTTCCGGACTCACAACTCCAATATCCTCTTCTCCAAGTCTGTCCTTCTGAACTGCGGATGGGGTGACAAAAATTATGTCTTCAGGGCTATTTCTCAGACACATCGCGCCTCCGGAGCCAAAGACCCATCCAAGATCGTAAAACTTGTTCATCAACTCGACAACTAGCGATCGCCCGGCCTAAAAATTGAAGGATATTGGGAGTACATTGCTTTTTATACAATTTAAAATGCGTTTTAAAAATCTTGAAAGCCTTTGGGGATAAAAATAATATTATTTTAAGGAAAATTAGATGTTAAACAATATTTATATTTTTCCATTAAATAGACCTATATTTTAGTAACGTATTTTACATTCTAACCATCCATAAGTCATCTACTTACCTTAACATCCTCATTTCGTTCATCAATTCCACTCATAATTTCTTGTTTTTCCCCGTTCTCTTGACCCAAGTCCAACTGCCTCGAAAGGGAACGGAGAGCGATAAAAAGAGGCTCGGGGACGGGCGGAGAGACTGAAGAAGGGGACGAAGCCGGCAGACGCTCACTCTCCTCCAAGTCTGATGCAATCTCCTCGGACTGCAGAGTCTCTAAAAATGTGGCCAAATCGAAGCCGGGTGTTTTTTGGGGCTCGGCCAGCGCGGAGGCGTGGTTTCGGCGGAGATGGCGCTGCGCCATGGAAGCGGTAAGTGATTTGACTTCCCTCCCACACAAGGTGCAGATGCCGGATTCGAAAAAGGAGAGGTAAATGGAGCGGTTACCTAAAATTAGAAAAAACTGACCGAATCATCTAAAATAAGGTCTAAACCTTAATAAAAAATGTCGAAACCCCTAAAAGCGAACAAAAGAGGAAGAAACGTATTTTACCTATTCTCCTCGACTTCTTGCCATTTATCTGTGTCTTTTCCGGCGTGGATTCGGCAATTTCAGAGTTTTTTGGTCGTTTACCCCTAAAATAACAAAAATTTTAACGAAAGTTGTCAAAAAACGTGAAGTGACATCAAAAATCGTATTTACCATTTAGGCTCCACAGTTGCGGTTCGACATTTTCGCTTTGCTGTTGACTCCATTGCACAAATATACCTAAAATAATACGAATCAATATAAAAGGAAATCAAGGTAAAACATTATCGATTCAGCAGATTCGATTCCTGAAACCGGGTACACGAGTTTGCGCGAGGTTCAGTTTATCTCACAAGGAAGAACATAATTCGTTTCTAATCTATTACCTAAAAAATAAAAACGCTAAAAAAGGTTCCACAAGTAGAGTAAATAAGTTTATAGCACTTCGTAAACAATTTTATTAAGATAATATGCGTTTGACCTTAAGAAAAAGCAGGTTTTCTACGCAATTGTTAACTATTTTAAATTCCGTTACCTAAAATCTCCAAAAAGTCGAGGAAAACGTGTACAAATGCGGAATTAAAGGTCAAAAACTGCGCCTTCTAAATAATACTAGTTAATGAGATAATTAGAAAGGGTTTAGATGTGCCTATTAACTTGATTCCCCTCAGTTTCGATTGATTTTTGATCAAAAAACTTATGGATAATATCGAGTCCAATTTTATACTGAAAAATTCAACAAACCACGTCTGTCAAAGCGTAATAGATTGCGAAAAATTGAATTCCAACAAAGGTTTTCTATTTATTGACCATTCTGACAATTTTCTTCAACAAGACCCCATGGATAATATCGAGATCAATTTTGACCTTGGAAAAAACGTAAAATTCTAAAGTTCAGCTCCCCAAAGCTTTAACAAAGTGTAATCTATAATTTACGCTCCCTTTTCCCAGACACGATCAAACTTTTTTACCCATTTCAGCCATTTCCCGCATCAAGTCCTCATGGATAAAATCGAGATCAATTTTCGCCTCAAAAATCGGCCCAAATCGTAAAAGGTCGATTAGAAAACCAGCTTCGCTTCCGTCGCTCACCAAAACATTGTACATAGCCGTCAGCTCATCGGATTCAGCCACAACGAAAAACGAAAAAATCGAGAGAAAAACAAAAAAAATGTGATTTGCAGGGAAAAAGGTCGAATGGGGGAATCGAAGCCTGAGCACAGCCAAAAAATGGCTTCACTCGAACGAAACCCGTCCCAAAGTCAGTTGGAGTGGGGAAGGGAGGGTGGTGATTTTTCGGAAACGAAGCCGATTACTCTTCAGACCAAGAGTTTTCTCGTTTTCGAGCGACTTTTGATGATTTTTGGTGGAGATAACAGCGGATTCGATTAGTTTTCGAAGCTATGAAGCAAGCAAGAAGTGCAAAGAATGATTTGAAGGCCAAATAAGGGCAGATCGACTTGAAAGATGTTGAAAAATTGGATGCATGAGCCATGGTGAATTAAAAAATAATCTGTCCGTATATTATTTCGAAGCCGACGGCTTCGTTTGGACCTGAAATTTGTTCGCAGGTTCGTGACAACTCCAGATTAGCCGATTATGATTGGACAGGATGACTTTATCAAATCTTTTTTATTAAAATATTCAGTGAAGATGCCCAAGATGATATCCGATATTTTTACCAATTATTTTCGAACATTCTTTTCAAATACATATTGACATTGTAAACTTGAAAGAGGGTTCTGTAAACCTCGATGTATGTTATCCGTGGCGTTCACAGCTTTAATCACGCAATAATTATTAAACTGCTCTCCCAGACATTGTCTGCAATTAACACCTTCCTGCAGATTTTTACAACATAACATGCGTTTTGTTTTGTTGAAATCCATGGTGGTGTCAAATTACAAAATTAAGCATTGGTACAACCGTTCCCTCCTGTTGAAAGCGGTGTAATTGCGTGTAACGGCTACGTATGGGCTTATTGATTCAGAAGTTTTGATCCCGTCCAGTTCATGACCAAAGCTACATTCAGCTTGTCGATGATCTCCTGTTTTAACCCCATAACTACTATTATACAATATCTTTAATCTTCGCATTTCGACGAGCCTTTCTTGCGGCCATTGGATTTCGAAGGTTTAGTTACAGAAGAACTTATTCTTAATAAGACAAGGCAGTCTTTACATTGTAAAGATAATTTAAATTTGTAGATGTTTAGTAAAGATGTTCTTGAAAGTGCAATTGGTTTATCACAAGGCCTTTTTTTGTCAGATGTCATAGATAGTTTGATTTGAATTTTTATTGTACATTTTATGTGCTTAAGGTGACCACACCACAACAAAATTAAAAACCTCTTTAGTGTGACACCATTTTTGTTATGCAGAAACTCACGGGATTTTTAAATATATGTTTGTCAAAAGATGGGATCGATAGTAGTCATGTTTTTTTTCAGTTTTGATACCATTCGGCTCTTCTCGTTTTGTGTAATGGCTGTAAATATCGCTGAATATATTGGCCAGGTCTGGAAAGCATGAGAAAAATTTTTAAACATTTACATGTGGCCTTTGTGAAAGCAGTGACTTAAAACTTGAAGAAAATCTGACCGTATCACCTTGAGCGCTTCTAAAAATGAGCATCAAGTCTAGCGCTACCTTTTAAAAAGGAATTGCTAACAATAAGGCGTGGATACCGTCGAGATTGATCCCTTTACAAACCTTTTTTGAGGGGCTCCCCTACAATAATTCGATCAAATTTTCTTCCGGTTCACCCTTCAAACCCTCGGGTTCTGTTCAAGTTCAACAAGAGTAACCTTAACCTCCATTCTCTTCGTCATACGAACAGCTTTGAGGAAATAAAGAAATTCGGCGCGAAAAAACGAAAATCAAATAAAAATTGTATGCGAACAAGTTTCAGACAACAGAGATTGCGGTCATAATATTCGTACGTTTGATTGCCTCGGGGCGATTTCCTGTTTATAATCACATTTTGTTTATAGTCTAATTAATGAGGAGAGGGTGGTCGGAAGCCAAGTGAAAGTGAAATCACGTTCATTATTGCATGATCTTTGAGGCTGGTGATGAGCTGGCTTTGCGTGGATCTCGGGGTGTCTGATGAACAAGTATGATCATGTCTCAGGGCTCACGTCGTTGTTGGGACAGTGTTGTGTCGATGTATTGATATGTTTTCAAAAATTATAGTAAGCAAAAAACGTTTTACCATGGGAAGGAATTATTTTAGTAATCAATAGACACGGTAGCGAACAGCTGTCCTATTACTGACTTTTAGTGCCACTTTCATAGTCTTTTTTTTTTGATCTGATTTATAGGGTCAAAAATTGTTTTTTTGGTTCTCAGCCCGGCCTGTTATCCGGCTTTTTATTTCTTCACCTGCGGCCAACCAATTAGTCAAAATCCTTGTTTTCGGCTTGATTGAGCTGCTTGAAGAGTGTGCCGTAAAATGAAACAAAATTTTCTGTCGGCTAAACCAACGATTTCAGTTTAAAATCACTCCGTAATTTTTCTACGTTAGATAAAGATCGCTTGGAGACTTCCAATTTTTTCATTTCATAGTAACTTTTGAATACAAAATTTTTGACCACCAATTAGCAAGTTCATCTGCACTCTCTTGAGGCTCTTTCTCCTATAATTTCTACCATTACTTGTCAATCCAGATCCACCTCAATCTTCCTCTGGCTTTGATTGTGCCATTTTTTTAAATTGATCTTGCATTGCCAATCCTCATGATCCCCTCTCCATTCTTTCTCTCAACCGCAAACTTTCCCAATGGTCAAGAAAGTGTGGCCGCCCTTTCGTTTTTTTTATCCGAGTCTAATCGGTTTTATAATGAGCTCTTTAATTGATATGAAAGCCAAGCCTCAAGGGCTGAAATTTCAAACAGATCTTTGGGTCAGTTTTCAAGTTTTACATGTGATATTTGATAGGGCAGAAAATCATCAAAATCCGCAATCTTGCAAGAAGATTATTATCTGAATTATTTAAGAGAATTTTAAATAATTCGAAGTCTTTTTGGATTGGTTTGCCTTACAAAAGAACCTCGAAATCGTGACCTTTTGACCTCCAAGAGGAGGTGTCCAAAAATCGCTTCAAGTAAATTCCCATGGCCAACTCTTTTTCATAAAGAAAGGAATCGCAAAACGCCCTAGAATTTGTTTTTTACGACTACCCTATAAATCGCGGGCTTTAGGACCAAATAAAATTTTTGGGTATTCAAATTTTTTGAGGTGATGGAATATTCAAATTTTCAAAATATTTTGGACATTCAAATTTTTACACGCGAGAAAATCTGTAAAGTTGCGATTTTTGTCATTGCAATGTCTTCATTCTTAAAGTGTTTTTTGTAGTAAAATTATGATATTCAAATTTTCGCACCCTCTATAAAAATTAAGTATTCAAATTTCCACATGGTGCGAAAACACCGGTCCGGCTTAATGGCTTCAAATTCGCTCGACTTTTGGCACAATTTCCAAGTCCCCGCAAATCTTTCGCGCATTTGCCGGAGGGTGAAATGGATAATATGCATGTCCATCTGTCGGCAATTTAGGAACGGAACCGGAGGGCAGGTTGACGCTAAACGGAAAGTGAGATTTTTGAGGGCTATTAATAATAAAGTGGTCTCTAAAATTGAAAGTGAGATTTCAAAGCTTCCAGAATTAGATTTGTTCAATCTTTGAACTTGTTTCAGAATGTTTGAAAACCCCAGATCTAGATATTCCAATGTTCGTTTTCTTTTGTATTCTCCTCAAATTTCAATAATTTTCTGATGATTTTCCCGCCGTTATGTCTGGTTTTTTATATGCGAAAGGATCGCCATTAAGGTGTGCGGGAAACGCTTGAATGCCGGCGGACAAAACTTACGCACTAGTTGGCTTTACCGCGTTACATCGGGCTTTGTTTGGTGATGACAAAAAGAGAATTTTTGGTTATTTTTATTTTCAAAATAATCTAAAAATTTATTTTTTTGAGATATTGTCTTCTAGCGATTTCTAAAAACATCACCGAAGGGCAAATCCTTTTTTGTATATATTTTTTTTCTAATTTTATTTTTGAAAAATTCAAAAAGAGTATAATATTTGCATAAATCGTTAAATATTTTCTGGTTTTATTTTATTCTGCGCAATCACCACTTGAAGTGCCTCAGGCTCTCGAGAGCGCACTCTCGAGTGTCCACGACTGAACTGATAATAACGTGTTGGAGTTGAGAGCGGATTCGG